TTATAAAACAAAACCGAACATCTCATGAAGCAAGATCACATGTTGGAACATTACTCAACCCATTTCAATCATTTTCTTTTCTGTCACTTTTAGGAGACTACAATAATTCGATGATGAACAACAGAATTACAAACGAAATGATCACATGCTTTTCAGCTGGATTTACAGATAAAATCGCTTACTTGAAAAAATACAGCAGAACAGACCTAATCGAAAAAATATTAAATATTAAAACTTAAAGTTGTAAAACTCACAAATTTCAGGATTATCTTCAGAGGATGTATTTTGCTTTGTTGTTGGAAAAATTTTTTAAAAATATCTCAAAGTAAGCTTTCAATCACTAAGTCAATCTGACACTGTAATTAATAAATAAGATTTAAAATTAGTCTAATAAACTAAATAAAAAACATTTAGAATGATGTTTGAAAGGAATTTTGAGAGTCGGATGGCGCTGACTTGGTTGAAAACAACCGACAAGAGTTCAAACGAAATTCTTGTCCATAGTTCTGTTCGATCATTTAAAATTAGTATTCAACGCATAAACGTAGAAGTGCTGCCTTTTCATCTACGGAATGTTTTTATTATTTGGCCATTGTTGGGGGATATTTATTCAAAATGTAACACAAAACAATTTTATGGGAATTGTCACGTCTACAGCTTCTGTTTGTTGAAAATTGGATGAAATTGAACGCGGCACCGAGGAACGAGCAGATTAACATGAAAGAATGTCATTTTATTACATTTTGAATAACTTTGAAAATTGAAACTTAATGACATTTTCAGAACTATCATTGCTCTCACAGCTCTAACAATAAGTTGAAACTTTGGAAGAAATAAGAAATGACCTCGTCAACTGATAGGAACAATGATATTTTATGATGCATTTATGCGTCCCTCTCTCTCTTTCTCTCTCTCTCTCTCTCTCTCTCTCTTTCTCCGTTTCTCTCGCGAGTATGTGCGCATTTTTTCAAGTTTCAAATAAATTTTGCATGCATTATTTAATGATTTTATAGGTTATGAAGCTTTGCGCCTATTCTATTCTATGTATATTTGCCCACATGCATTATACATACCTATTTGTAATTGTGTTTGTATAATACATGTACGTACGTGTGTGAGTGCTTACACGCACACATACGAACGGGTGCATGCTTGTGTGTATATGCATGCACGTACATGTACTCACATCATACAACAACATTAACATTCATCTATCTGGTTCAGGTGCACTTTTACAAACAAAAAAAGCACAACAGTTGTTAATCAGTGGAAACAATAGAAACTGGACCATGGTATCCGCGAATTTCTTTCATCGCATACAAAGACCGGGAAATGTTTAGCGCCACTCGTACATGCGAGTACTCGAGTACAGATCGGTAATAAATATACACACAAGTTGGTATGCACACATGTGTACATAAATAAGCGTAAAAACTGAAAAGCAAATATTATTGCGTATACGAAAACAAAAAAAACCGGTAATTTCACATCCGCAAACAAACACGAAGGAACTGATTAGAAGGGGGCACCGAATTATAAAGGAAGGGGGGACAGTCGCAATATAATGGTAAGACCCCTAGATAGCATCTTTGCGACAATATAAGAAACAGTTAAAACAATATTCTAGTACAGGGGTGGGCAAACTTTTTGCTGTAAGGGCGGCATATAGAACTATTTTACCTTTGAAAGGCCACATGTACTTAATAGCAATTTTTTAACCCGGGAGAGAAATTTTTGGTCATAATGTCTGACTGGCGACCTTTTTTTTTTTGGTAAACAAGGCCTCCGCATCGCGGCCCCAGTTTACCCACCCCTGTTCTAGCATGCATTAATCCCGAAGAATAAAAATTAATATTTTTAATAAACTAATTACTTTGAGAAGCAATTAGCAATGATGGCTGCCAATTGAGTTGTGGATCTAATGATCCCATGTGCTTAATGACGACCAACGATGCTTCGGACTATGAACCTTGCATGCTTCGCCTCGCCATGCTTCTTTATAAAGTGGTGTTGATCTGAAAATATTCAGATAACCCAGAATACAGCGCTTAGAGAACTGCAGATTCAAAATTTTAAAATTAAGCGAGACAACAATGACGTCACAAGTTCAATTGGCTTACAATGGAATCATCAACCTAGTTATTGATTGCAAGCGGTTTTATAATGGCGCAAATGCTTCTAGGCCAATGTTGAGTTTAAGCAATATAGTTCAATTTTTACGCTGAACATGATTCCTATCCAAATGCTAGATTTAGATGAGATTCATCGGTACAACTCTATACAGTAGAGTAGCCTACACAAGAATCGCCAAAATTCATTGTGGATGTGATTTGATAGAAATATGTTAATCAGCGGAATATATTTTTGTTGATTATGTCAGTGTTGGAACATTTCTTCAAGTAGTTCAATAAAAATAAAACGAAAAAATAAACTATAATTTCATTTTGCACATTTAGATCTATTTACTCACTACATCACCCAACGGCGTCATTAGATCATGCCATCCATCCACTTGGATACGTATACAACTGTGTACATGCATTCACGTTTGATATACTAAAACAGCTTTCAGACAACGATCACTTAATGTATTTATTCAAGATCATTATCTCACCTATTTATTTCCTCTCCTCTGTCTGTCTGTCTCTCTCTCTCTCTCTCTCGTACATCTTTTACACATTTTGTATTGTTATTTCACTATTCTCCGTTGCATTTTGTTTTTCTTTATTTCTACTTAACTTTTTCCCAACACATCCATTCATAAATATTCTGCATGCGAACACAGGCCACGCGAAACGCTAGCTATCTAAATTATCACCCGTAACATTATGCGCAATGCAGAAAGCAGAATGAGCTATCGAAGGATGAAACAATGGCACAGTGCGTGTCAGTCGGCGAATCGTATTTAGTACCATAATTGATTGTCTCAAAGGTTACATTTTTTTCATCTATAATACAGCTTAGCCAAACGCAGAGCTGCTTACATATTATTCCTTACTTATATTTAAACTTTCATCCTACTGACTGAGCTAACTCGATGACGAACTTATTACATATTCGATAAATATGAAATCAACTTCCCGTTTTATTTAAATAGCATCTAGTTTTAGCAGCTTCCATTTAATTTTCATCATTTGAGAGTGACTGTGCGCAAACGGAGATATATTGAAAGAACTACCATTGCATCATTGTACTTAATAATGATGACTTTTAAGATGTCAAATACTAATGATGTATGTATAGCTAACAAACTACCAAGAGAGCATATCAAAAAAACAAAATTCTATTTGGAATTCCCTTGCCCAACTTCAAGTGAACAACGACACTCATCACAAAATTTTCTAAATTGAAACGGTTGCAAATTGCAATCCACAAACACTTTCGCCAATGAAGGGCAATCAACGAATGAACGCGTGATCGCAGCCTGCTCACTCAGGCACACATTTAGTGTGTTTAATGTAACTACTGCAATGTCATACTACAAACAAGCAATGTTAATTTGCCTGCGTAGCCGTGCTGACTCATCAAAGTACTTTGACCCTCCGCAGTTCTCATTGGAGAATCAATAAATGTCACATTAATTATGCATGCTGTTGACTTTATGTCTCGATCGTCTCCCTTTTACATATTTTCGACCGGCACCACTTGATCCGACCGACATTCACATTGATCAGCACTTTCAATTGAATTAGAACATCAGACGCGTTAATGTGCATTTCGTGACGTGAACATAAAAATTATTATTTACTAATTTAAAGTTATAATTTCCTTTAAACAATTCGAATTTTCGTCTAATTTGATTTATCGAAACTTTGAAGGTGTCATTAAATTCTCACTAGAAATTATCAGTAATTGTTTGTCTAATTAACATTACGAATTAACAAAAGAGCTAAAAAGAATGCAACTGATACGAACTTGAAAAGTTTTGGATGGGGAGAGAAACGAATTTTGATAAAATGAATTAAATCCTGAAATTTATTTGTGTTGCTTTGCACTATTTCGTTGAAAGAAAGTTTGAAAACTGCTGAATTTTTGTGGATTACAGTCATATGGCAACCCGTTAACCTAACAATATTCGCACAAAATTGAGATTGTGTAACGATTTTCTTAAGAACCTCAAAGATTTTGAAAAACTTAATTTCATTACCTTCGTTAAGGCTTCAAAAAACAATAAGATCTCGCCAATTTCGTTTATAAAAAATATTTCAAGTAACGTCATCCGAACTATTTTACAATTTAAAAAAACATTTCAAAAACTCGGAGGTAGGTAAAGAAACGCCTCGGGCCATCCAATCTAACGAAAAGTAGTGGTATTCTAACTTGAAATAACCATGATTTATGTTCCAACCGTATTCAAGTGTGAAAACAGAAATGCATGCGTGCTCTAAACAAATGCATTTGCTTGGTTGGAGTCGAATGAATATCAATGTTTGTTCCAAAGTCCACCTCTACATATTTAAGGTCATTTTTTCAATACAGGTCCAAAGTTGTTAAAAAAGTATTAAACAGCTTAGACATTAACTTGTCGTTTTAGAACAAATCATTAAAAATTGCGGCGCAGCGCAATTTCTGACAATATTGAGTCACTTAAAATAACTTCAAAGCCCTTGACGTGAGTTACCGAACTTAATTTAATTCCAAAGTAGGTGTTCTGATAAGCACTCCAATCTCTATAACAAGCCTTACCGGTTAGTCACACACACCAACTGTCTGCATATGCATTCAACGTCGCAATTAGCTATAGGACCAGACGACACCTGCAAAAAAATAAACTTTTAGGCTTCCCTGCTCCTCGAATTTTAAAAAATACACCCAAGTTTTCCAACTTACTGTATCAAACAACTGATTAGTATTACCGATTTTAAGAACAAACAATTGTTTATTCTACATAAATAAAAGCTATCAGAAATGCTCAAACTATCTAAAGAAAATAAGCGCAAATGCTTTACAGCATTACAACGAATTTTCGAAAAAAAAAACAAAAAGTATTTTTGGAAATTTTATTTTAAACGTGCTTTGAATGCGTATCTTAATTTGGCAGACCTTGAACGAGGATTTGACGTGACCTCTTTATCTGATGGAACAATGATCTTTTTGTTTTCCACCACCCAGTTCTTCTTAACGATACTTTCTATTTCATCTCGATCCAAGTTTCGTCTCGCCCTATCTCTAATGCTAAGGCAAAGATCTTCTCTCATATCAATGCCGTGAAAATGTCTCTTGACAATTCGATCCTCCAGTGAATGGAAGGATATGGCAACGCACAGACCTCCCGGAACCAACAAACTGTGAACATTTAGCAGGGCCTGGTTCAGTTCATTCAATTCATTATTCACAAATATTCTGATGGCTTGGAAAGTTTTAGTGGCAACGTGTGCAGGTCTCTGCAGTTTGTCTTGCTTGTAATCATGACTGTCACACAATTAACAAACATTTTATTTTGATTCATTTAATTATAAAACATACAAAAATATTCCAGAGATGATAAAAATGTCATCAACCTCTACTTCCAATGAAACAAGTCTTTAATAAACCAAATTTTTATGATTCAACTTCATATTAAATACTACAAAACAGGGAATAGTGCGAAAAGTTAAAACAATATTCTAGCATTATCTTAATCCCTGAGATAAAAATTAATATTTTTAATGAAATAATTACTTTGAAAAGCAATTAGCAATGATGGCTGCCAGTTGAGTGGTGGATCTAATGGCCCCATGTGCATATCGATGATCAACGATGCTTCGAGCTATGAACCTTGCATTCTTCTCCTCACCATACTTCTTTATAATCAGAAACAAATTGGCTTCACTCATGTGGTTCACCACGTCGTATGCTGTCAGCTGGGTAGCATCTCTGAACATTAAACAAATTCTGAAATTCATTACTTATTAATCAAAAATTGTCAATAAAATGTCTGTAAATAATTGTCTAAATCAATGGAAATTTATTTGTTAAAATATCTGATGTAGGAATTATTAACTTAAAATGTTTAATTTAAGTGAAGCGGGAACTGAAGATATCAAAATAAAAATTAAAGTAGAAGAGGGCTCAGTTTTAATTTTCTTACACAAACAAAAAATATTTTGAATGCAGTATCACACATGCATGCAACACTTTTTAACAAATGCATTTTGAATAAGCCAACATCAGCAACCTGTCCTTATCCATCCTCATATCGAGAGGACCATCAGCACTCAATGCAAACCCTCGATCAACCTCATCGAACTGCATCGACGACACTCCAACATCCAACAATGCACCATCTAATGATTGAACACCATAGGTTTTGTACAACACATCTTTCACTTCACTAAACTTTCCTAACAAAGGTTTTAATCTTGTCCTGTTAGTTAGTGAAATCAATAAGAACTAAATTAAATGTTTTATTAATATAATTATAGATATCATTTGAAATTGAGAATTTGGACATCTATTTATTGATTCCTACATCAATTTGCAAATCTTCCAATAACAAAAAGGTTTCATTTATATATTTACATCTAATCAGTATTTTTTAAATAAAAACATCACTCAAAAAAACATGAAATGTAATGTGAAATTCTTACTCAGTTGATGCCATCGTCACTGCAGTTTTGTGGGCATCAGGGTCTCTATCCAGTGCATAAACAACTGCACCAGGAATCTCTCTCAAGAGAGCTCCAGTGTGCCCACCTCCCCCAAATGTCAAATCCAAAATGTTCTACACAGAAAATAAAGTTTGTATAGTTATTTCATTCATGTTTAAAAATTTAATTTTTAATAAGATTAATAAGAGTGCCTGAAAAGTAATACTAAAACAACTTTCAAGGTAATGAAACACCCAATCCAATGACTGGAATGATCAATTAAGTTATTATTATTAACTAAACAAAATAATTTAAAGCTTTTATTAATTGAACACAAAATTTATTGAACATATAGTAATAACAATTAAATTTGATCCTCACAACACAACAAACATGAAGGAACAGGAACAAACAGAAACTTTAGTAAAGTAACTTTACTTACTTTGCAACTGTTTTCCTTGAACAGCCTGACGACTTCATGCTTCATCACTGGTACGTGTCTTACAATTGCATTATTATTATTATTATTACAATTGAAACTCAACAATTCACTTTTTGTCGAGTATCTTCTTCTTTCTACAAACTTAGCTGCAAACTTCAGCAACATTCTTCCCTCTTTCTTGAGAATAAAAAATTGTTTGCTACTCTTCAAAAACATCGCAAAAACATTTATAAAACTGCGAAGTAGGTAGTAGCAGAAGAAATCACCGAAACAAAATCCACATCATCAAGACTATAGGTCATCAACGTTTTATTTTTCCAATTACTGCATTTGTAATTTACGTTCGATGGATTTGTTTACCGGCATGCTTATCAGCGCAAGTTGCTGGCCTTTTTTAAAAAAAGACTTTGATAAAAATATTATTAACAAAAATTAATATTTAAAATAATATTTTATTAAAGGACTAATCCATAAATATATTTATTTATTTATTTATTTATAGACACGGACCATCATCTTCATTATTTCATTGTTGTAGTTTTTTTAATTTTTAGTGATTTTTTTTCATCTTATAATAACTAATTTAATTTTTAAAAAAGCGATATTTTTTTTAATAATCTCTCTCTGTTGAAACAATTGCAAGAAAATATTTTTGTTGCTCAATCAACAAAGCAGATAGAAATGTACAGACAGAATGAAGTTCCTGCAGATGACCATGTCCATTGTATTTTCAAAAACGCATTAAAAACAATACCTGTCTCTAAACGAATCGGAAATCATTCAAAACGGACGAAACACAGTATCATATTGTTAACCTTAAATAAGTTGTTAACGTTTGTAAACGTCTTACTGCGTTGTAACGCTCTTAAGAATCGTAATTTTGCTTATATTTTAATATCTATAAGACAAATGCAATCATTAACTACGAGATAATATTGAAATCAATTTACTGACTTAACAAAAAAACTGCTCATTGTTATAGATCTGTTACTGCAAGTTTGAAAAATTTATATGCAGTGTTTGAAATGTGGATTGATAGATAAATCCGTTGAATTGATTAGGTCATTTGTATTGGAAATCAAGTTTTTGTAAAAAGAGAAATGTTGTTAGGTATTTCTCATGTTTCTAAACTGGAGCTAGGTATAACTTTTAGCAAGTTGTTTTTGTTTTTTATTGTTAAGTGTTTTAATTATATTGTTTTTAAAGATGAATAAGGTTACTAGGCAGCAATTAATTTTATTTATTACATCCCCGAAGTTAATTGAATATAGCAAAATTTAAATATAAAAAATCTTTAAGTAAATTTTCGTTAAATTTTTTTGCATCATTAAATGAATTGCTGTTGCTGAGCCTCGCCTCGCCAATTCGCTTGGTTTGCTCTGTCAATGTTGCAATTTCATTCTTCAATTATCCATTAGTTATTATAAATATAAATTTGAATGCAAATGTCTACCTTACTTTCAAAACAATTATTTGCATCAGAAAACATTCAACTTAGAAAAATTTAATCACAAACTTATATTTGAAAAATGCGAAAAATGTACTATAAAAAATCAGTACAACTCACGATTTGTAACGATTAGACCCTGGGTTGGTTAATGCACATGCAATAATCACATCCATCTTTGTCGGTGCTGAAACCAGCAACTGGACAGTCACCACAATTGAAATCCTTTCTGCATTCTGGAATTTATTTTCCGAAATTAAAATACCAAACTCGTTGATAAATCATTTTTAAAAATTAATAAATTAATGAAAAAACCAATCATAGTTACGGCATTGTCCGATTGACTCGTCGCAAAATTGGTTAACACCACATTGCTGTAGTTAAAAAGCATTCAGAAATTAAATTCAGCAAAATTTGAAGAATGTGGTTTAATTTAAAATTAAATAACTGCGATTAACATTTCAATGGTATAAATATGTTTTAAAAGTTTGAACATACCGGACACTCCAGACCTGGAAAATAAATTTATAAGTTTAATTTTGTAATTAATTAATTACAAAATTTCATCAAATGCACGTTGAAACTAACCACATGCTAGCACGACGAATGAAATGACAACGAGAATGTCTCAGGTGTTTATCGAAAATAGGTCCAATCTCTCACGTAAGGTCTCACCAATCCAATTACCCAGTTCGTCAGAATCAACAATGTTTTCCATTTCCGAGACATATAAAATATAAAATAAAATAAATGTGAATATATGAATAAATGAAAAACTGTTTTTTTTGAATAATAATTAAAAATACTGAATTGCTGTTTAATGACAAACAAATGTTAAAGTGTATTAATTATATTAATGATAAATGTTTGAAGATGACGAGAGCCAAATATTTTTTTATCGAGTGTACTTTTTTGTTTTTGGTCACTTTTTATTTACATTATGTACATGTCGTCCGTCTCATTTTTTGCTGCAACTTGTTGTCTCGCGCAGTAATTAATTAATAATTAAGTTTTGACAAAGGTTAAATAAAATAAATTAAAAATGGCGGAAAGTGTCAGTGATTTGGAGAGTGACACGAGCTCAGTGGAAAGTGTTCCTACCGATCTTCGGGGGCTTCCGTCTGGGGTCCTGCTACAACAGCTAAACAAGAGGGTCGAATCCCTCCAGCAGGAGAATAGGGTCCTCCGCATGGAACTGGACACCTTCCGATACAAGTGCAAGAGTCTCGAGGAGGAAAACAGGGAGCTGAAGAAGGCCAGAGTTACTATTGTTAGTCCATTTTTAATATAATTTTATATTTAAAAAAATCTCTCTTCTCTATTATTTTCAAATTTAAATTTTATTTAATTTTTATTCTTAACTCTTCTTAAGTTTTCCTTTCATTGTTTCATTCCTACTCCACCTATTGTATTGAATATTTATTATTGTCACTGGTTAACAATTAATTTAATATTAATTTAATTAGTCACATTCAGTTTTGTTTTTTTTCTTTCAACAATTATATGTTATTAAATTAAGTCTTAATTATTTATTAAGAAGAAGGCTATACATTTTTATTGAGAGCCCAACTTAATTTTTAACAAAAAAAGACTGGTTAGATAGATAGTTGACAAAATTACTGAATTTCTAATAAATAATATTAAAATTTTAAATTAATATTTTCATTGCTATTTTCTTTTTTTGAATTTTATTTATTGCACTTTACACTAGTTATTGGCTGAAGCTAATGTTACCACTTTAATTTCAAATTAAAAATTTTTTAAAATAAAAAATAATTTAAGGAATCTTCGTCTTTTATTTTATGAATCTTATTCTTATTTGGTTAAAAAATTAAATGTGGTTATGTGAAATATTAAGCAGAATCAAATAAAACACAAACACAATCCAACCTACCACCTAACTAACCAACCACCTAACTAACCAACCACCCAGCAACTGATGGCTGAACAGCAGGAGGAATACATAAGCAACACGTTGTTGAAGAAGATCCAGGCCCTGAAGAACGAGAAGGAACAGCTAGCCAGGAACTATGAACAGGAGGAAGAGTTCCTCACTAATGATCTCTCACGAAAACTTTTTCAAGTTGGTATCAAACTTTACTTTTTCTATTTCTCACTAATGCAACTTCTTTTTTGTTTTGTTGGAGATACAAAGCCTGTGTTTCTGTACAATTGATGTACCACCACATTACGTGTTCATTATGCATTAAGCAACTGAGTTTTGTATGGACAATATTGATTAGTTGGTTAACCAATGAATTTTTTTCATAGTTTAATTTAAGTAGAGTAAAAACCTGGGTGCCTAAATTTTTAAAAGATCAAACTAAGTTGACTGTCGGTATTCGCTTTGAAAGCCAACTAACAGACATCTGTAATAAGCAATATTTCATAAGCACCTGTCAACAAACAAACATGCACATGAGCATGTATGAAACCAACCACATGCACGCACACACGCACACACTCACACACACACACACAATAGCAACAACACTCAAGCACAGCAGCACATCTTCTATTGATTCAGTTGCGTCAGGAGAAGTGTGAGCTGGAGGTGACGTTGGAGAAGGAGCAGGAGTACCAGGTGAACAAGTTGATGAGGAGGATCGAGAAGTTGCAAGCCGAGGTCGTCAACAAGCAGGCCAATCTTGAACAGGTCAGTTCCTGTCCTGACTGACTGACAGACTGACTGATTGATTGATCTCTTATTTGATTGTTCGATTGATGAATTCAGTGTTGCTGATTGGTTGACTGATTTGGTGATAAATGGATGTTACCTGGTGGATGGATTGATGATGCAAACTTCTTCCCAGTTGAAAAAAGACAAAGTGGAATTGGAGAACCAGCTGGAGCAGGAGCAAGAAGCTCTGGTCAACAGGCTGTGGAAGAGGATGGACAAGTTGGAAGCCGAGAAGAGGTCTTGATGGTGGTGATGTTTATGATGGTGGTGATGCTGATGACGATTATTATTATTACTACTGATACTAATGCTATTGTTATTATTATTTATTATTGTTGTTATTATTATTATTATTATTACCATTATTATTATTATTACTATTGAGGATAAAAATCCCACAAGTTAATAATGTTAACAACTTTGTTGTATCCTTGTTAATTCTGCTGGATATTGCAATGCAATCTTAGTGCATGCAACTTTCAAGTTAACAGTGTTTATTTATTTGTCATCATCATCATCATCTGTCATCATCATCATCATCATCTGTTATCATCATCATCACCTGTCATCATCATCATCATCTGTCATCATCATCATCTGTCATCATCATCTGTCATCATCATCATCATCTGTCATCATCATCATCATCTGTCATCCTCATCATCATCTGTCATAATCATTATATTTATCACATTACCACAGCAGCTTTTTTAAAGTAAATTGTATCTTATCAACAACAACACAACACACGTTTAGACGACATTTTCCCCGAGATCGGGGTTTGCCGTTTGTCTATCTATTATGAAACCGAAATACCCCTTGACGCCATTCACATCTGTCACTCACCTCAGTATCACGCAACCCAGCTTTCACTCTGTCCTTCTCCACCTGCTCTCTCCATCCCAATCGCGGACGACCCCTTCCTATCACTCCTTCAACCTCGAACTCCAACGCTCGCCTAATCCCGACCCTTTCATTCCTTCTCAACACATGTCCATACCACCAATTGTATCTTATTATTCAAAATAATCATCAAGTGGTTTTTCAAGTTCTTCGTCAATCAAGTATTCATATCATCATCATCATCATTATCATCCTTATCATTATCATCATCCTTATCATCATCGTCATTATCATCATCATCCTTATCATTATCATCATCATAATTACTTTATTATCGCAACTTTCATCATCATCCTCCTCATCATCGTCATTCTATGTTAACAGCATTGCCAGCTGCATCATAAATATTTGCCATTTTTTATCAAATCTTTTTTAAATTATTTTAATCATCCATATCATTGTTTACATCATCATCATCATTACCATTTCTATTAATGATTATTTTTTCATTCATCCCTATCCATCCATCTGTTCATCATCTACACATAGAGTACAAATGCCATTCATTCATTCAATCATTCATTCATTCATTCATTCATTCATTCATTCATTCATTCATTCATTCATTCATTCATTTATCATCATTCATTTATTTAATTAATTTGATTTTTGGAATATGAATTTATACATTCATCTATTATTGTGTAATCATTCATTCATTCATTCATTCATTCATTCATTCATTCATTCATTCATTCATTCATTCATTCATTCATTCATTCATTCATTCATTCTTTCATTCATTCATTCATTCATTCATTCATTCGTTCATTCGTTCGTTCGTGTTGTGTTATTATTCGTTGCTCTACTGTTTTCGTAACTATATTTGAGAATAATGATGATTGATGGGAAGAAACATCATCATGGTAGGTCTGTTGCAGTATGAAGCCATTTCCTAATTAATTTCCTACTGTAATCTCACTCTCAACCTGTTCAGCTGATAGCAAACCAATCACTCACAACCAATCACAATGTATGTAACCAACCAATCACTACTAACCACTGCAAATTTTTCGACCAATCACGATGCAGAATGTTGCAGCAGAAGTTGGACCAGCCGGTGTCTGCACCTCCCTCGCCACGAGACTCGCAAGCTATGGTGGTCGATGGGGATGCTGCCAACAACCTCGTGCAGAACATCCAGGCGCTGAAGGCCGAGGTGCTCAGGCTTCAGAACCAACTGAAAACTGTTCAAGTGGAACGTTAGTCCTTTGCTCTGTAGTTGGGGTCATTGATTCATAAGCTGGTTGATGAAATCTCTATTCAATTGGTTATGATATGTAAGTTAGATGGTTGATTGGCTAGTTGGCCGTTCATTGGTTGTGACTGGTTGAATGGTGTCGGTTAAATGGTTTGTTGGTTGATTAGTTGATTGGTAGGTCGGTCGATTGGCAGTTGGCAGGTTGGTTGGTTTGCTGATTGATTTATTGATTGGATGGTTTTTCAAACGGTTCTTTGATTGCTTGGCAGGTTAATTGTTTTGTTAGTTTTCGTGCTTAGTTCTCTTTAAGTGTTTGCCAGAAAGGTAATTTAAGGATGACAAGTTTTTGACCAATTTATTAAAGCACACACACACGCACACAAAAACTGATACGCACACACACAGACAAGGAGAAGATAGTTCAGTATGCAGAGGAGGAGCGCCACATAAGGGAAGAGAACCTGAGGCTGCAGAGGAAACTCCAGATGGAGATCGAAAGGAGGGAACAACTCTGCAGGCATCTCTCGGAAAGTGAATCAAGTCTCGAGATGGATGATGAGAGGTTCGTAGACGGTTGGTTGGATAGATGTTGGTTGGATGGATGGATGGATGGTTGGATAAAATGTTGATTGGTTGGTTGGATGGATGGATAGTTAGTTGGTTGGATGGATAGATAGTTGGTTGGTTGGTTGGAGGGATGGATGGATAGACGGAGATTTGGATGAATGGGTTGATGGATAGATAGTTGAATGGATGGATGGATAAGTGTCAGCTGATAGTGGTTTTCAATGGTTGCTATATGATTGTTTTCGCGTCTGTTATGATTTCAATATCTGCAGTCTAATGCTATTGAGGTATTTTATCTCAGTAGGTTAACTAATAGGAATAAACAAATGGATCATTTTTAATTGCAGACATTTTAATGAGATGACCAAACATCAAGAAAAGTTGATGTCATCTGGTTGGTTTCTGTTGTTGTTAAGTTGATGTCATCTGGTTGTCTATAATTGCAACATAATTTGTTAATGCAACATTATTTGTTACTATAACATTATCTATAACGGCAACATAATTTGTTAATGCAACATTATTTGTTTCTGCAACATGGCTTGTTTCTGTAACAATGTTTACCACCATTACTTGTCCCAACCAACCACCACACCAACTGACCTCCTGAAGACACATGGATGCATGGAGGCAGTTCGATCGTGCAGCCACACACGCACGCACATATGCCATCAACCTGGACCAGGTCTGGTTCCTCACCTGTGCCCATGCAAGTCATCACCAGACCTATATCTCCAGGTTGGTTGCTGTGCTGTTGTGTGTTTGTGCCTGCTGCGTTGAATTGTTGGGTTGTGTGCGCGTGTGTTGTGCTAGTTGTAACTCTTGTATGTTTCCTTTGCGTCTTTTGTGAATCAAATGTGAATGTGAATCAAACCAAATTCATCGCATCTCATACTACCACTCCGAATACAAACCAGCATATTAAAGTACACACAAACACACAAATACGTATACAAACATGCACACACACTTACAAACGTAAAAACATACAAACGTGCAAACAGCTGCCCTCCACCTGGGTCCATCGAGTCCGATGAGATCGACCATGATGATTGACAGATTGCACATGTCTCAGAGCATGTCCACCACCAACAACATCCTGCCACCACAGATCAACACCAATGCTGTTTGTGCTCCTTCTTTTTATTTGTGTCTGCGTGCTTGCTGATTCTTGTTGTCGCTTATGTGTGCCAGTCTTTCTGTTTGATGTTGTTTGTGTGTTTGCTGGTTTCTGCTGCTTATGTATGTGTTTGCTTCATTTTTTGCGAGTTTGTTCCAGTTGTGCTTGCCGTTGGTTGTTTTTTATTTCTTTTTACCAATGATTCATTTGCTGTTCCAACAGCCGATCAATCTCTCACAGGAATTGGAAGTTAATTATTCAATTTATCTATCATTCAACTAATCAATCATTCAATTAATCTTTCATTCAACTAATCAATCATTCAACTAATCATTTATTGTAACCAACTAAATGTTTAATATTATTTAAAGTGATCAACCACTAAATTTGCCATTAAATTTACATTTCCAAACAATGCAATCAGTCAATCATCCAATCTTGCCATCAATCAATCTAATCAATCTAATCAATCAATCAATCAATCAATCAATCAATCAATCAATCAATCGGTAATTTAGTACTTTCAACTAATCAATATCCAGAAAATATCTCAGAGTGCAGATAAGTTTGTGAAGCCATCAAACCCGCCACCGCAAAGTTCCAGCGCCTGTCACCACCACTCGCCTGCCTCGTCGTCGTCGTCCTCATCTGCCGTTGCTGCTCCAACTGCTACTTCATCCACGACCCACACTTGATGACGTCATCATCAACAACAACAACAACTTTCATTGAATAATCGTCATCATCATCATTGTCGTTATTATTAACATTAACATCATTATATTGACTAGAACATCGCTTTTATAGGCGTCACTGTAATCATCATCATCATCAAGCACATCATCACCATCCATCTATCCATCCATCCATCATAATCATCACCACTCGAGTTTCGCATCCAGTTTATGTTTGTTGAACTATATATTAACATAACACTTTTGTAACGTAACAACTACATCGCATCAAGTACATCGCATTAACAGTACATCACATTAACATAACTACATCGCATCACGTACATTAATTACATTAACATCCACTGTTTTTACTGAAAATTTTCCAAATTATTTCGTTGCATTATCGGTTCTGTTTATATCAGCAGTTGCTCTCACAATCGCCTTCATTTCTTTTATTTATGCTTACATGGGAGTGAAATTTGTCATTTCATTATCACCTTCTTCTTCATCATCAACACGACACTCATCATCATCATCAGTACGTTATTATTATCATCGTCACCATCATCACTTCTTTTTGTACATTCGTTATTCATGTGATTAAATTAGTTGCTTTCTTTCTTTCTATTTCAGTATTAAGCATGTGTCTTGTGTGTTCGGTGTTGTTCGTATGTTTGTGTGTGTGTGTGTGTGTGTTTGTATGTTTGTGTGTGTTGTATGTATGTTGTTCGTCTGTGTGACTATGTGTGTGTATATGTATAAGCTTGTTTGTATGTACATGTCTGTATGCAGGTTTGCACGTTTGTGTCGATACGTTAGTGCGTATGTATGCATGTGTGTATGTATGTGTTTGTGTGTGTTTGTTTGTGTTCATGTAAGTGTGTTAGCGTGTACGTGTATTGTATGGCTCGTGTTTGTCAGGTCATTTTCTCGCAGAAAATGGCTTCTTTTAACATTGGCCTGAACATAACTGCTCCTTTCATTCAAATAACACAAGATTTTTATCACAGTACAACATTATGTTGTAACGTAATGTAATGTAGCTTAAAGTAATGTATCTTAATGTAATGTATCTTAATGTAATGTATCTTAATGTAATGTAACTTAATGTAATGTAACAACTGAACGTGCTATAAGTCGTAATGTAACAACTGGGCAGTCAATTAAAAGAAGCTTACAATAATAAAACTCTTTTCCAATTATCTGGACAAATTATTTGTTTGAATTAATTTTTCAGACTTTTATTTTTTCGAGGATATTTTCGATGTCGGTTTTGTTGCCATTTAAATCTTTATCATCATCATCGTCTTCACTGTTGACGTCATCACTATTGACGTCATCACTTCGTCAGGATTTAAAAATCATCATCATTGTCTCTGTTTGATACATTGACGTGGCGTGACATAGCATCCTTTTCACTAATCATTTCACACATCATATGTTCGTTATCTCTAGCTTATCAGTCAGTCACTCGTGTCGTCATGTTATCGCTTCCCATTACCACTTATTACGTAATTAAAAACGCTGAAGTTTGCATGCGTTTTGTGGGATTCAAGTCGTTCATTTTTAAAACGTTTGGCTCGCTGGTAACATTTTGTAATGTTGGTGATTTCTGTGGTGGAAAGGATGATGGTGAAGATGTAGCTGGATGGTGATGATGAAGATGTAGCCAGATGGTGATGATGAAGATGATAGTGTAGGTAGATGATGACGAAGATGATGATGTCAACGATGATTTACTGTTTTTATTGTTAATATTATTCATACAATGTTTTTTTTATTAAAGTTTACAGTTAGACGTTTTTAATTAATTCTCGAATGTTTTCCTCAAATTAAATAGTTTCCAAGCTGGTACTCATCACCTGTTTGAGTGGTTCGGTTGGCTGTTATGATGCCATCATCACTGTCGTTTCATCTTTGTGATAACATGATGGTGAACGCGATGATGACGACGATAATGTACATAGATACACATACAAACGTACATGCATTGATACATACACAAACATACACTCATATACAAACATACATATATATACAAACATACACACATATACAAACATACACATATATACAAACATACACACATATACAAACATGCACACATATTGTACAGGCACATTTGTACATGCAAGTAAACAAACTTAAAAGTGAAAAAGAAACATCTTTAACTTTCGTGTTATCTTGTAGTTGTATATAACGTTAATGTTATTTCTTTTAGAATTTTCTTTATTTTCTTGGAAAATAAAATTTGCTTCAACGAATAATTCGTGAAATAAAATATTTCGTTTAACGGGGAAGTTTAATATTTTCTATTTTCAATGTGTAAAATTTCTTGGGTGATTTTAAATGACGATTAGCTAGCTTTCAATGTTTGAATGACGTGCTTTCGTTCGATTACTCTCTTATAAATTTATTGTCAAGATGACTTAACGTATGAAAGATTTTCATTCATTTTTCTCGGTCCTTTCATTGTTTGTTATTTCAAATTGGCTCTAAGTGCCACAGTTCTCGAAAATGGTCAATCGCTCTTACTTCTTTTGCATTATTTCCTCGGTGAAAACACAGCGTTTCCATATTCGCAGATTAAAAAAGGTTGCTCGCAACATTTTCATTTTGTAACAGCGAAACTTACACCTGACACGCGACAGCGTACGATGTTTAAGACAAAGTCCAAAATCTTATTATTTATTTTTTAATGATGAACGTGTAGAGCTTAAAATTTTATGATGTCAAAAATTTGTTTGCTGTAGTTTAATATAGAATTCACAAAGCAAAAACTTAAATGATTTTCTTTTTTTTTTTATTTCTGTTTTTTCTTTTGGTTTCGACGTCATTACGACGTTCTCGAGAAGAAACTCAACGTTAGTTTGGTAAGTCCGTTTTTTTCTTCATTATACGCGCGTTCCGAGAAGCGTGATAACTTCGTTAGCGTTTAAATTGTTTCATCGCCAATTATTAGACTCAAAAAGTTACAAGTTGAATAAAAGTGTCAAGATGATTTGGAAGACATTTATATTAGATGTCTTCTTAATAAGTCGTACATTAAATACACTCATTATGCTCAATAGTCGCATAAATATGTCAAGATAATTTTGATGACATTATCTTTTTTGATACGTCGTGTATGATTAAGTATAATTACCGCTATACAATTTTCTGAGTGAGAAATTTTTACCCGGAATCGACGAAGTCAGGGTACGCAGTCGGCAGAGTCGGAAGGGAAGTAGGATTCTGAGTCGGAAATTTGTGCTCGAAGTCGGATATTTTTGATCCGTAACTCCGTTTTAAATTTTTATGAAAATAAACGGTAGATTGAAAAGATTGTATGTATTTTTATTTTTGAATGTTATATAAGTAAAAATATGTAAAATTATTATTGGTGGAATCAGAATAGAGTGTCGGGTTCCGAGTCAGATATTTTTACGCAGACTCGGAGTCGGTATTTTTCATCCTACTCCCACACCCTGTTCTAACATTTTTGGAAAATAGAACGTAGAATGAGAAAGATGTGTTTAATTTGTTTATTACTGATAAATAAGTAAAATTATGATGCCAAAGTTGAAAATTTTTTTTTGGAGTCGGATATGGAGTCGGATTCGGAAATTTTTACCCGGAAAGACTGACACCAACACCCTGTTCTCAGAACTCGGAGTAGGAAATTTTTACCCGTTGGTGACGGCGAAGTCGTAGTAGGGAGTTGGAATCGGCGAAGTGGGAGTAAGGAGTCTGATTTTGAGTTAGAAATTCTGCCCTGAGTCGTGGTCATATATTTTTCATCCGACTCCAACACACTTTTTTAAAATTTCTGAAAAAAAAACGTAGATATTTATTGTTAGATATATAAATGTTCATATAAATTGCGTACAATCAACATTATTTATATAAATTTTATAACGAATTTATTTTAAAAATGATAATTTAAGCAGATTGATATCACTTGAGCAAGAAAAAAGAGAGAAAAAGAATGAGAGAGAGAATGATAGAAAGAGAGAATAGTAAAAAAAGCAAACAGCACAAAATTGATTAAACACATTTGAAAAGTAATAAAAGTTTGATCATATAACGACTTCAACCTTACAGAGATTTAAAATTTTGAAGGAGGTCATTGAAAGTGAAGGTGTGAGGATAGACAAAGAAACCTTCATGGAATAACGTAAAACCGCAACTGAATTCATTCGGTTTAATTAAAATATTTAAACAGTTTTGCTTTGGAAAGATTATTATATAAAAGAAAAATGTAATTTAAAGAAATGAATAAAATTAATTGATGTACCTAAACAAAATAGTTTATTGTACGAATAACGACGTACAATAATCATTAAAAAATACAAACGGGCTTCAAACACGCATGAGACACGAGTTGAAAACAAATTTTCTACGAGACACAACTATAATAAAAACAAATTAGTTCGAATCAATCAAATAGGAAAAAACTTATTTAGTAGAAAACTTAATTAATTGATTAATTAACTAATTAATTAATTATGTTGATACGCGTCCATAATCTGACAGGAATGTTATCAATACAATGAAGAATGCATGCACGAGACATTCATTCACTTCAGTCATACAACAGATACACGTCTGTTCGTTCATTCGGTGGCTGTCAAATAAAAAGCGATTAACAAATCTTGGAATGAAAGATTTAAAACAGTGGTCACAAGTCTTCTGATCGTCAGCTCACGTCGTCTAAGTCAGCAACAGATTAATGATGAAATCAAATGATAATACAACACAATGGCAAACTGTACAATATATTTTGATTTTATGCTTTTTAAAATGAGCAAATAAAAAATCAAGAAGTTAATAAAATGTTAGTAAAATAGTTTGCCGTATAATTGAAAGACAGTTAATTGGCGGGAATTATATATAGTCAACATTGAACAACAACAATAACAACATTATCATAAAAATTATATGAAGTCAAAGTTGAAAAACAACAATAACAACAACAACAATAACAACAACATCAATAACAACAACATCATTATCATAAACAACGGCCTCAGCAGAAAGAAAATAAAATAAAAAAAATTGCATAAAAATATACTTGTGAAAATTACGCTCTTTAAAAATGAGTGAAAATATAAAATCACACTTCCAACGGAAAGGAGGGTGTCGTAAGTTCACGATAGTAATAATAATAATACATTGTTAATACTGAAACGAACGTCACGCTGAAACTATGAGCGATTGAAAGAATCAAATCGGCTAAAGATTTAAAATTGTTTAAGTATGAAAATAAAACATGAAATAATAATATAAAAATTAATCAAAAGTAGGCGTACCAAGCAATATTTGAGTAAGAGACAACAAAATTAATAAACTATTAAATAATGGGCCCGTGCCAGGTTTCGGCCCCGATTTGACTTTAATCATTTTTCTCAATTCGTTCAAAATTCAGCTCAGACCAACATTAAACAGGACTATGGATGGACACACGGTTCGACTTACGTTCAGACCTCGTTTGTGCAGTCAAGTCGGAGCTGGGTGTGTCTTTCAGGCGGCTGGTCAACTGTGTCCCGTTTTTTAAAAATCGATCACTTTCTATTTCAAAATGCCAAGATACACACTCAATTTGTAATGTTTTCAGATTAACTTGTTAGGCTATCGATAAGAATGTAATCTAACAAGGTTTTATGCCGGACTAAAAACCGCCGTAAGAAAGTTAACCAAGTCATAAGAACGAGCTATAACATAAAATGCCTTAGCCAGATTTCTGTTTGTTGATCCGACGAGAACTTTTGCAAATCCGGTAAAACCCTATTAAATAGTATTCAGGACGCTGTAAAAAACCAAGAGTATAAGTACTGTCACATGAAAAATAGGTGCACACACAGCAGTAACCAGCAACTGGTTGAATTCAATCATCAAACATCATTCCATGATTTACTACAACCATCATTTAAGACATAACAACACAACAAACATGTCCCTGCGATAGATAAAGTAGTCAGGCAACAAAACAAGATTGAACTTCTCGACATAAAAAAAGTTCTAATCAATCAATCAATCAATCAATCAATCAATCAATCAATCAATCAATCAATCAATCAATCAATCAATCAATCAATCGATCGATCAATCGATCAATCAATCAGTCGATCAGTCAACACAAACGGAATGAAACTTTTTCAAAGGTCCCTTCTTCCTGGATTTGTTCCTCATTGAGTTACTATCCCGGTGAGTAAATTGCTTAGCAAACTGGTCCAGTGTAGCGGTTTTTTGTGGCACGTCTACAGCATTTGCAGTAACTTCTTCAGCAGCCGCGTCGTCACAGTCATCAACATCTTCATCATTTATGGATGCCAGTTGAGTTTTTCTACGAGTGTTTCCGACGTTCATCGGTGGTTGACGTTCAGTTGTATGAATAGGAAGGTGATCGTCGTAGAGGCATGGCCAACTGAGTGACCTCATCATTTTGACTCGAGGGGACGATGGCGACTCATCGTCATCGTCGTAATCAGCTTTGTTATCATTTTTGCATTTGATTCCTGTAGTGGCACTTTCTTTCGAATTTTCTGTGCTGTTGAAAAATTTTTTAAATTTATGAAGTTAAATGAAAACTTTAAAACAATGACATCCGATGTTAAAAGTGAAATGGACAATATCAAAAATATTAACAATACTTCATTTTTTATTCGCAACGTCCCAGCGACCTACCTCTGACCAGCATCATGAGAGCCACCATCCACTGCTTCATCCGGCAAGGTGACCACCGCAGGCGACAAACAACTCCACTGCCTCAGCACCGAAGATGACGAAAACGACGTACTTTCGTCAACAATAATGACGTCATCTCGCGTGACGTCACAAGTTTGAGGAGTGAGTTCGGTGGAGGCAACGGTGAGACAATTCATATCGATGTCTGACACGACGAAAGTGTCATTTGGTGGCTGTGGAAGTGACGACGCCGGCGATGTTGATGACGTAGGTGAAGCTGCTTGCGTGGAAACTTTTGGTGAGTGAGATGACGTTGGCGTTAGGGATGATGGAGATGGTGGTGCGTGCATCGGAACCGAGATTGATTTCTTGACGGCAACATTTTCAAATTTGACAAACATTTTCGATGTTTTTGTGAGTGAGGACGAAGAGGAGTAGGCCATGAAGGACTGCGGAGAGTTCTCCATCCTGTCACCCTCTGTTCTATGAGCTGCTGGAAAAGTTACAATAAAAAATAATTTTTTAAATTGATAAGTTCATATCATGTCTAGACTGCAGTCGGTTCAAAAATTGACTGCAAGGTTGGTTTCAAGTGACCTTAAATACGATTACGTTAAGTCAATTCTTTTTGCTCTTCACTGGCTTCAGGTTCATCAAAGAGTCATTTTCAAGATATGTTTAACGGTTTTTAAATGTATTAATGGAGTCACCCCTAAATATTTAACTGACAGATTCATTCCTAGAACAATACCACTGCTGAGTCAAACATTGCTCTCTGACAATTCCGGTTTACTGTTTGTACCTGACACAAACTTTGGTTTTGATCAAAGGAATTTTTTCGTAATAGGTTTTGTTGTCTGGAATGGTATGCTTAGGGACCTTCGTGATTCTGTGTTGTCTGCTATTCAATTTCGTAAAAGGTTGAAACACCATCTTTTTGTCCAAGCATACTCGTGCTAATGTCTTTTTCTCTCTCCATTCATTGCATTGCCTTAGTAAAGTGCTACGCAATGGACTGCAATAATCGTTAGCGCCTCGGAGATCTTTTTAGAGGACGCTTACAAACACATCAATAATAATAATAATAATAATAATAATAATAATAATAATAATAATAATAGTAAAAATAATAATAATAATGAGAAAGGTAGTGGATACATTTTTTGCTGGTACTCTTGTTCCTGGCATGCTGCGACTTGACCCTCTGCAGAACATCTCCTTCCACGTTGTCCACGTTGTCGACGTCACTGATGGATCTGGAGCGAAAAATCTTGCTGTGCCGGTGGTTGCTGAGGAGAGTTGCATGGGAGTTTTGGTATCAGCAAATATTTTTGGCCCATTAAGTATATTACCGTCGATTGAACAAATCTTAAAATAATTTATAATCAATCAATCGATCTTCGTTTAGCCTAAAAGAGACCCAGTTCCCCCAAGGTAGGACGTATATATAACACTATATTTATATTATACTATTATATATTACAACATTATTTATAACAACATTAATAACACAAATACCAACTTAATAACTAACTAAATACTTATTAATGACATAAATGCTTAAATATAAATAAAAACTTGAAAAAACTGAAGATGTACAACAGAATAACAACAAAAAACAACGACACACAACAACATCAGCAGACCGACTGACCTTGCGTCTAGAATGCCCTGATAGATGATGAGTTGTTTCATGAAACCAGGGTTCGGCTGAACACATGACCTCCTCTGCTTGACCATCTGGTAGGCATGTTCCAACGTGAACTGGTGACCCTTCATTAGGTAGGCTATCACCTGTCCAGGTGCAAAGTTTGCGAGTGAACAGGTTTGACATAAATTAAATTATTTTAAATAATTTATTTGATATAAATAATATTAAATTAAATAAATTTTAAATAATTTAAATTTATTTGACATGAATTATACTACCTTAAATAAATTTCAAATAATTTATAAAAGCGGAAATATATAAAAACTAATAATTAAAAAGTTTACAGAAAATATTGAATAATGAAAATAAATGTGCAGCAGAAAGTTTAACGAAGTAGTAATATGAATATACAAACAAAATGAATTATTGATCACATGAATAAAATTATCAGATTAATATGGTTGGTGAAATGTTTAGGATGAATAAAAACTTTTAAAAGAATAAAAGGAATAAAAATAAAAAATATAAACAAACAAACAAACAAACAAACAAACAAACGAACAGTGGAAGCAGACCTACTGACACCCATCTTGCAATGAACGAGGATCTTTGAAGACGTTCGTCTGTTAAGTTAGTAGTTGTAGATTATTATGTTTGTGTGTGCGTGCGTGCGTGCGTGCGAGTGTCTTTGTGTGTGCGTGCGTGCGAGTGTCTTTGTGTGTGTGTGTGTGTGTGTGTGTGTGTGTGAAGTGTGTAAATGTACTTTGTGACTTCCACTGCGAACATTGTGTGAGTTTGTCATGTATGTAAGTTTAATCAAATCGATCAATAGTGTTGTAAAATCGAGTTTTGCCGACAAACAACACAACACTAACGACAACAGAGAATCATCAGCTGTTAAAAAATAATAAGAAAAAATGGCAGAGACAGCAAGAGCTCGAACAACTGATCACGGACAAACCAAACCTGGCCTCGTCAATAAACTTGTAGGTGCTGTTCCAGTGCTTGATGAGTTCGGTCTCTTCGTAATCGTAGACCCTGACGTTGCAGTACTTGAACATACCAGGGAAGAAGTTGTCAATCTCCTTCGTGACATTCAGTATGTAGCCAACTCTGTTCGGTGTGTGTGTGTGTTAGTGATTGACCGATCGATTGATCAGTGAACTATTTATTATTGGAGGATTGTCACATGAAGAAGTAAATTGCTCGTATTCACCATCTTTGTTGTGAACACTCATTAATTCGAAAATTAAAATTTTAATAATCATTCCCTCTGATGTCAAGCAGCGGGCGCTCCTTAAACTAAAATAAACCCGACAACATGCGAAAATAACTGCAATAAAAAAAATGAATTTTCATCCACACGTCACATGTCATTCATTCATTTTGGAACATCAGGAAGGTTATTATCCGGAAAAGAAATCCCTTAGCATACTCCATTTCCACCACTACCATCAACGTCATCATCGCTACCATCGTCATCATTACCACCACCATCAACCAACATCATTACCATCATGGTCATCATTACCAACACCATCGACCAACAACAACATCATTATCATCCTAACCATCATTATCATCATCATCATCATCATCATCGCCACCACAGAGTACCCATTTTTTTGAAGCTCCTCGAGATTGGAAGCATTCCATTCAGATCCGAGGTAGAGGAAGTCGAGTATCTGTGACGGGTTGTCCATCTGCCTCATCACCATGATCATCTCCTCGTCCAAGTACTGCCTATACTGACTCGTGCTCATCTCCAAACTACTCGCCAGGTCCATCTTTAACATCTCCTCCAGCTTGTCACGTACCTACGTGGCGAGTTGGTTCTATCTCATGTATCATGTCTCGTGCTTCATGTATCATGTCTCGTGCTTCATATATCATGTATCATGTTTCTTGCTTCATGTATCATATGTCTTATATACGATGTTTCATGTTTCATATATCAGATCATGTATCATGTACCATGTCTTAATCTTATATATCATATATCCTGTTTCAAGCATCATGTTTCACGTATCATATTTTATTTAAAAGTGACGAGAGAATGTAGGTTTGTAGGTCACAAGCAAGCAACAGGTTGATCATCATCTAGAACACAATCATCATATAGTAAAAATAGTAAGAAATAAGAGAAGGAGCTTAAACTCAACAACACGCTATGCAACGTAACTTCATTCAGAACACAACATTCTATTTGTTAAAGTTTGATTGGTTGATTGATTGGTTGGTTGATTGGTTGGTTGATTGATTGATTGGTTGATTGATCGGTTGATTGATTGGTTGATTGGTTGGTTGATTGATTGGTTGATTGGTTGGTTGATTGGTTGATTGATTGGTTGATTGATTGATTGAAAACCTGTATACTGGTGACGTTGTCGAGATCAGCAGTGACGAGAATCTCCTGCAACTTCCTTCGTATCATGTTCTTCAAGACGGTGTGGTCGCTGGAGCTGGTGCGTGGCAGGTTGTGTGGTTGTCATTTTGGGAAAAACATCTAACAATAACAACCAAGCAGAGGCAAGAGCAACAAACAACAAGCAAATAAGCAACAACAACAAACAAGCAGCAACGACAACAACAACAAGCAGCAAACAACAAGCAATAACAAACAACAACAAACAAAAAGCAGCAACATCAACAAACAAAAAACAACAAACAAACAGCAACAACAAACAAGCAGCAACAACAACAACGACAACAAGCAACAACAAGCAGCAACAAGCAGCAGCAACAACAGCGACAACAAGCAACAAAAACAAACAACAAAAGCAAACAACAACAAACAACCTCACCCTTCTGATATCTGCTGATGAATATTTTGAGACGAGGACAGTGCATCCTCAACCCTCAGCCACTCAACCACCTGCAACGTTGACGACTGACTGACCCCCCTATAAAAACTCACCCAGTCATCTATTCCTCTATCAACACCCACCCCACCCCCACTCTGTTGCTGTTGTGGTGGCTGTTGATGCTTGTTCCTCACCGAACACACACCCTTCACTAACGCTTGTAGGGCAGTCCTGTTGTTTGAATAATAATAATAATAACAATAACAAATAATAATAATAACAATAATAATTATCATTATTATTATTATTATAAGTATTTAACAGGCGTATTCAAAGTGCCACTATAGCGAGATATCTTCTTGCAGTTGAACCTGGTCGCTGTAACGCTGTATACGAGCGCTTTACCGCAAGCCACTCAAGTAATTTAAACCTAAACCTAATTTCACAACTCTTCCAAGAATCCATGTTTAGTGAATTAATAAGGAGCCAATATCGAAGGTCCAAAAATTTATTTATAAAAACAAAACATTCTTCCCAATTTTTTTAAAGTTTCATCGCATTCTTTGGTAACATTAGACCCGTTAAATACCATAAAATAAATTAATAATAATAATAACGATGATGAGATAATTAGAATGATAATGATGACGAGTAGATGATGATAGTAAAAACTGATGATAAGAAGCTGAAGATAGGGATGATGGTAACGCTGGTGATAGAGATAACGATTGCAATAATGATAACCATTATTTGTAAGAACTTCAGAGGTTAAGTAAGAGGTCCTACTAGATTTGAAATATGGACAATCATGAAAGCAAACGAAGCTGATTTATTGCAAGGAACTAATTGTAGGAACGATTAACAATGAGATACTGATGGTGGGGAGGGGGGCACAGAATTAATGACATAATAACTTTTATGGTAATTTCTCACATAATTAAACTATGCCATGAGCTTGCATTTGTTCTTCACACACACACACGCACGCACACACACACACACACACACGTTAAATGAATTACATACAACAAACAAAAACACAAGGCTGTGGCAAAGAAGAATGTTAAAAACCACAAACTAGTAAAGACAAACAACAAATCAAGTAAATCAACAAGAAAACGATAAGCAATGGGGCAACAAACGAAAGAACAACAACAAGACAAAGATAAACAAACAAACAGACAAACAAACAGACCACATCTCCTGAACAGACACAGGATGAAATGAATAAACAACCCCATCAGAAGATATGTAAAACCCTCTGAAAGAAAGAAGAAACTAACTTTACTGAATTTATTACCAAATTTACTTATAAAATTAATTAATTAAGTAATTAAATAACTAAATAAATAATTAAACAAATAACCTTATTACATTATTATTGTTATTATTGATAGAGGTTCAACAAACTGTTCACAATAAAATGAAAAAGCAATGAAACGTTCTTGCATCAAATGACCTCAAGAAAAATAAAGGAAAAACTAAAAATAAAAAATTTTCATTTCTATAAAAACCGTCCGACCCTTCTCCATCCAAACAAATATCAGTGTCTTTGGTTACAGGAAGGACAAGACCGACTGTAACGTCGTCGTTACTTTCGTTGACGTCAACTCCAATGATGAGGAATCGTTCATGCGGCGGTCCACTAACGGCTGCTACCGACGATGACGACGACGACAACAACATCAAGTACTTGTCTCTCTTCATCAACTTACTCTTCTCTAACTTCACTATCTGTTTTGCGCGTGTACACATGCGTGACGAGAACATTTGCGTGCATATACTTGATTTAGATAACCACTCGATCTATACGTATTGTATAACATTGATGCAATGCAAATGTGCAGCTTGTGGGCATACATGATATAACTGGCATATTTGAATAATAATTTCAACTTCATTTGGATAATAATTTACTAGGAAAATAGTCATCAAACAAATTTTATTAATGACTGTAAATATCTTACTCTCAAGTGAGAATTTTGGCTTGAACGCCGGCACATTAATTTAAATTTTTTCTAAACGCTGATTGGTTGTGAGATGTGAAGGAGTTGTCAGCTGTTTGAACTTGTATTTCTATGAACATGTTAGAAAATATTTTCAGGATTCCCCGCATATTTGTAAGTTTATACGTTAAACTAAGGAGAAAATAGACTAGATACAAGGTTCATCTATCCATCCATTCAGCCATCCATCCATTTATCGATTCAACCATAAATTCATCAATCCATCTAGTTATGAGTAATCAATTATTCACTTTCCCTACAGTCACGTCTATAGACAAACAGCCTTATCCTTAGATCAATTTTCAGGTCTATAGACAACCATCCTTATACTTAGATCAACTTTCACGTCTATAGACAACCATCCTTATACTTAGACCAACTTTCACGTCTATAGACAACCATCCTTATACTTAGACCAATTTTCACGTCTATAGACAACCATCCTTATACTCAGAACAATTTTCGTTCAGGTTCCATTTCAGTTTTTTCCTCTACCTAGTCTTAACATCTTTAAATTTGATTTCGTCTCCGTGAAATATAAGGCCTCCATGACAAAATGTTTACTGCCAACGCAAAAAAAAACGAGATTTGAAGAGTTTGATGAACACAATATATAATAAACGAACATTACAAAATAGTAAGAAAAATACTGGTTAATAAATTGGTGAGAATGTATAATTTCTGTGAAATGTTCTATAATTTAATTCTGCTTCAGTTTCTTTTTTGTTTTCTGAAATAATAATTACTTCCATTTTCTGGCTTCTTGACCTCAACAACTACACCCCTCCTAGGAACCAACTTATGATAGAACTATGTAAAATATTCCGAAAAAATAAAAAATAAATAAAAATTAGATGAACAAATGAAGGAAAGAAGAAATTATACTAACCACTTTCAACTTGTCATTAGTCCTGATGAGTTTCTGTATGGCCTGCACATGATCCAAAGTTTTCTCTACAAAATTGAAAATTATCAAATAAGAAACAAATTACTTTGCACTAGAAAAACAATCTGTGAAAGTTGAGCTGAATGAAAAATAATTCAAAGTTAACTGAACAACCCTGGTAACAAATGATTTAGTCACATTTGTGTAATAATAGATTTCTATAATTATTATGAAATTTAATGTGTTGTTTAGTACCATCTGGTAGTAAAATAAATCTCTCTGTAAAATAAATCTCTCTCTCATTCTCTCAATCCATATCTCTCCTTCTCCACATACATTTTTCACTATTGAATATCTAATGTAGACAAAAAACAGAAATAACAAAATAACAGAGCATTATCAAGAAAAACAAACAAACAAAAAGACAGATAGACAGACAAACAAAAAGCAATAAGAATGAAACAAACAAGAAACAACATCAATGGAAACTAACTGCATCTACAAAGTAGCCATGGAGATTTCTTAAGGTTCATGGCCAGCAAGACAGTTTTTGAGAATGAGGGGACACCTTTGACACCACCACTACCACCACTAACACCATCATCATCATCATTAGCTGATTTGTTACATAACAACTTTAGAGAAATTTTTTCAACAGACATCCTGCTCTTGAAGTTATATAAATATATTTTAAAATTTAATTAATTAATTAGGCAGTTAATAATAATAATTCAAATCAATTATTTATAATGTTCAATGTTCTCAGTTATTGGTGGTGTTTAATAGCATTTGTAGCTAATAGCATCATTCATCATAACCATCAACTTGTACATTTATTTGTGAGTAATCTCTGCTTATCTTATCGACCTCATATTACTTGATTTATACACCATGAATATACTGACTTCATATTACTAGATTCCTACACTATGAAAACCACAAATGAACACTTCCCAACATCACATGACCAGATATTTTTGTTCGTGGGACACCAGCGTTAAATGGAATTTGAAAATGAACAACGACCAACATTTTTTAAATTTTATAGTGAACTAGCAACTTATGTTTTAAAGGAGTTTTTATGGCAAATGTAATATTTATTTATACATCTTTCGTATCTGTAAACATCCAACAAATTTAATACAGTGAACTGTTTAAATAACAATGCAACAGTACAATACAACAACGACAAAATTATATTTCTGATTACATATGTATAATTAAATAAAATTATAAATAAAATAAAAAATAAATAAAATTATACTATAATATAAGTACTATAAAAATTATCACACAATATAATAATAATAATTATAATAATCTTATGTCAAAACCCAACTGCTAAACTAACTCATCGTTTGGTAGTTTAAAAATTGGACATGCACCACATGTCACTAGAACACTATAATATCTATGTGACCTCAATTGATTTCCAATAACTTATGATATAATTCAATACATACACTACACAGCATACATACATACATACATACACATCAATCATTAATTCATTCATGATTCAATTAATAAATTAGTTTATTTTATTATTATTTGTTAAAATGTTAATTAATATTTGAATGGTGTTGGTGTGGTTATTAACTTCACGATCATATAATTTATTTTATAATATAATACAGGTGTTTTTTTAAAATACTATATTATAATTAATTATGTTATATTTTAATTACCATGCACATATGATTATAATATTATTAATTATGGCATGAATGACAATGAATGAAATGCACGATGGGATTATTTAATTATTATGATAAAATAAATTCTGAATATTAATAACATTCAATATGTAATGCTCGACGGCAACAAATAAAACATTTTTTTAAACGATTTGAAAGTCACTGAACCGTTGAAAGTGTTGCTGTCAGTGCTGATATAATAAATATTTATTCGAAGTTTATTTTAATAAAAACCGTCGCTCTTTTTTTTCATAGAAAGCAATCAACTCGGTGCATCACAAATTCAAAACAAGGAAATGACAAACCAGTTACGATCAATGTTAATAATTCGATTTGTACTTTAGTATCAAACCTTGGAATTTTAAGAGAAGATCCTTTATCCGTTTATAACCATGGATATATATATCCATGTTTCTAGCATGTGGAGCGGTATTTTAAAGGTTTGTCGAAACAGATGAGAATGTTGGTGTAGAAGTTGTTGAAACCTTTCTTAGAAATCTGATTGCCTCGATCGGAAAGCCGTTGCTTCAGACTAAATTACCACACCTACAATAAATCATCCGAACACTACCAGAGCCTGTTAGACGAATAGTTGCACATCACAACTTAGCATTCTCCTCAAAAGATAGAAATCAAAATTGAACAACACCGCCAACAACATCTGTCAGTTTTTCCATCTCCACACCTCTTCATTCAACTGCATCAACAGCCCTACTCATCTCAAAATAATAGACTTTTGAAAAAATCCTGAAGGTCGCTAGTTGGTTGCAGTCTCGGTCGAACCACCATTAGCATAAAACCGGTGTAATGACTTAATTCCTTCCAGTTCAACTTTCAATGAAACGCTATCAAGTTCGAATTCCGACGACATAATTTTCCGATAAATTTAGTTTTTGACAGAATTTACGAAGTGTCGTAATTCAGTTAACATTTGTCCAAAGCAATCGCCGCCAGATTAAATGAAAAGAATATAAAAAAATTTGGATGTTAAAAAATAAATCAAATGAATAAGCGTGCGGGATAAATCAGTCAGTATGAAATATGAATATAACATCAATACACGATAATGAGTCGTTATGAAGATATTATGATGATAATATAAGAAGCGAAAGCGTAGGAAGTAAATAGGAAGAGGTCGGTAGATGAAATCAGACGCAAGAAGCGCAATTTTGATTTTCTGCTAAAACGAAAAATTTGTGTAATAAAAAAATAAACCATTGTGCGATGATGCAAAACTTAGAGGAATGTGCAAAGATGTAAATAGAATTCGTACGGTACGATGCACAATAACCCACACACAACTGTCCGCACCCCCATCGACCACCTCGAAACGATTCTTGAACGAAATAGACAGGAAACAACATGGAAATAAGTCTTTTATTCATATAATTTTTTAACTTAAATGTAAAAAATATAAAAAAATTCTCAGAATGATCGATAAAATTTGTACACATTTCAATGTAATAATAATTATGCGGCAAAAATAATAACTTTCTTTCAAATTACATTAAGCAAACTGTAAAATCAACATTACTGATAAAATATCATATGTAAGATTAAGTCTTTCAACTGCTCCAATCCCACCTGTCCTTAATAGTCACACAAACACACACGCATACACATACATAGGTACATAAGCAAATACACACATCACGAACAAATAAATAAATAAATGCGCTCCTACTTATGTACAATATATATATATATATATATATATATATATATATATATATATATATACATATATAACGGGTAATGTCAATGGCATGTAATGAATTTGATATATTAGAACTGAAAAACATACCACAAACGTTAACTTATTGCCACCTAAGACAATATCACAAGTGCTATTACAAGCATTTAATAATATTACCGTCTTTTGTTATTTTATGTTTTTTGTTATTTCATAGTTAGTATTAATCTAATTTTAATTGTTACCGCAGTTAATATCGTCATATTAACATCATGTTCGCTGCTAGCGTTACTGAGACAGTTTTACGTAATGATACAACAACGTAATGACGTAAGTGATGACGTAATTTGCAGCTTGTGATGTCATGTTTTGCTGTAAAATGCAAAAATGACTCAACATTGAAAGCAAAAGGTATGCTACTGATCGACACGTCATCAACACTTCGTTCATCCCCTCATTCATTCATTCATTCATTCATTCATTCATTCATTCATTCATTCATTCATTCATTAACTCTCTCTCTCTCTGTCAGGCAATTTAAACAATCAGTCAGGTACTGCAGATATTAATTTGGATAACTCTCAAGCTTTAGTATCATACTGGCCACTGCAATCAACATCGTTATCAACATTTCGAAGAAAATCATCATTACTACTACCGCTGCTAGCATCATCACCACTTCAAACATCATCATCATCATCATCATTATCATCGGCAATGCAGCCTCATAAGCACCACTGAACAACCACTACAACACAGACCGCCATCATCATCATCATCCCCACCACTGTCAGTTTATCATCATCATCATCACCATCAGGCGATGACGTCAGGCGTGGCAGGCTTAGGTGATCGATGTTGTTGTGGCGTGTTATCACTACTACTACCAGCACCACTGAAGTTAATGCCGTGATGATGATGATGACCGTGGTGATGATGGTGGGAACTGTTGGGGTCAGTGTCCTTCTCCACCAATGCCCTCTTGATGTAGAGGTTCAATAACTTCATCTGGTTGGTCATTTGTTGTTGCAATGAGGATGTTACAATATGTTGAAGCGGTCAAAATTAACTTAACCTGCATTACATCATCACCGAAATCATCATCAACGATATCATCTTCACCATGATTATCATCAACGTCATCATCAGCAATATCATCTCCACCATGATTATCATCAACATCATCATCAGCAATATCATCTTCACCATGATTATCATCAACGTCATCATCAGCAATATCATCTTCACCATGATTATCATCAACGTCATCATCAGCGACATCATCATTACCATATTTATCATCAAGTTAGGGCAAACAGGGCGTAACGAACCTTGCTGACGGGGAGGTCCTTGAGGAATGATTTCAACTGGTCACCAACCTTCAAGTAGATGGTCACCAGAGTGTATACGCTCTCCTTCCGCACTGCACTCATCGAGTCTTCATAGCCCTGTTCATCCATTCAGTGATCAATTTAAAGAGTTGATTGATTGATTGATTAGTTGACAGATTGATTCTGTGATTTGACAAATTGCTCTCGAGCAGCCAAATGAGGACATCTGATAACTTGGGTCTTACAATACCAAAGCAATAAATATAAAAAATCTTGAGGGTGTGATGAGATGAGGGATTACCAAGACGAAGACGGCAATGAAAGATGATGACAGCCATGGAAGCTGATGATGCTACTGTGGATAAAAACGATTTGAAAGGCCTGATGATAGCCTGATAACATGCTGATGTTGAAGATGATGATAACCGCGTTAACAATGAATACAGTAGCGATGACGATAGTGACAATGAATACAAAAATTGACAATGGATACAAAAACGGCAAAAAATATATATCTTTGTATTTCCATGAAAATGTGCTTCAATTGGCACCAACCCTGAGAAGCAGGGGCACCACGGTGGGAAGGAGGCCGCTGATGGCCTGCTTGTCATTGAGGTTGCTCAGCAAACTGTTCTGAAGGTTATATGCCATATAGCGGGTCTGTGTGTACGTTGGAATAATTTGCTCATTAATGAAAATTGCACAATAATTATTTGCACATGCGCCCGAAAAATTAAGCATATCCATCTAAAAAAAAATTATCATGCACACACACACACACACACACACACACACACACACACACACACACACCTTAACGGCAGCATCTTTCATGTAGGGATCCAGCAAAGACAGACTGGTTGTTATCGGCAGTGATGACAGCAGCGCCATTATGGCTTCATCTGCTGTCACTGACACCTGGCAAGGGGATTTGCGCAAATGATCAATCAATCAATTAATCAATCAATCAATCGAAACTTCATCAACCAACAAATCAATCAAACAACTCATGCAGGTCAATCAACAAATCAATCAAACAACAAATAAGTGACAACTTAATGAACTTCCTTTAAAAATACCATTATTCAATGAATCGATGAACCAACTGGCTGACTTTCACCAACCAGCCAGCCAACCAACAAACATCAAGCTGAATGATCAGCCAAAGGGCAACCAATCGATAAACCAACGAATCAACTGATCAATCAACCAAAGAACCAACTAACCAACCAATCGACCAACCGGTATGTTCTCATCTTTCTTGGCCTCCACCAGCTTACTAAGAACAAGTTCAGCATGTTGCAGCATCATGTCAGCATGGTGTTCACTCAACTCTTTCACAACACTCATCGACAGGCATCGAAGGTCAGTCTATTTAATTATCATCATCGTTATTAGTTCAACACAATACAATCATTAATATATCTGTTCAATGTTATCACAAACACCATCATCTTTATAACATTAGCAAATGAGCTTTGTTTTTTCAATTTTCGTTCAATATTATCGCAATCATCATCATAATATCATCAATCATCATCATAGTATCATCAATCATTCTTATATTCATGGTTTCATCATCATAATAAATGTATCATCAATAATAATCATAGTATCATCAATCATCATCATCATCATCTTGGTATCAGCAATCATAATCATAGTATCATCAATCATCATCATAATCATGGTATCATCATCATAATCATGGTATCATCGAAACAGCATACATTAGAATCGGAGATGATGTCAAGTAGGAGCATGAGGATGGTTTTGAAATGGTGCTGCCAGACCTCCATGTTGTCTCGGTCGCGTGCGATGTTCACCAGGTGCATCAACTTCAACTCCCTATACTGGTCACTGGTCAAGTCAGGTGGTGGTGGTGCATGGATGGTTAGTTGATATATGGATGGTGGATAGTTGGATGGATTTGGTTAGATGGATAGATAGATAGTCGATAGATGGATTGATGTTGAAGAGATAGATAGATTGATGTTGAAGAGATAGATGGATTGATGTTGAAGAGATAGATGGATTATAAAAAATGATGAAGACCACGGTCAAGGACAGTAGTTGACCAATGAAACTTATCTAGACAGCGGTAAAATTGCATGGTTAGAAAATTTTGCAGGGTTCAAATTTAAACTCATGCAGAGTTGGCGAAAGAAATTTACGTAACATTTTCTCAATGGCAATGGTAATATAAGACGTAGCTTCAGACACGAAGACGTGAAACTGTACTATGTTGTGTGGAATTGTCACGTGTGTGTGTAAAAATAGATACCTAATATCAATGAACTGCTGGGAGAATCACCTCGAAGAGGGCAGTCAGAAAGTATTCACGCAAAAG